CTTCCTCCAGCTAGCGCTGTGACGTCGGCTGACCCTAGTTACCTGTGGTTGGCCTGGCCATGCGTCACTCAGAAAACAGCAGGCCAATCAGAAGAGAGGCTCATGAATATTAATTAGACAGGCCAAAATCGACCTGTTCTCAGCAGAGCTCCTGAGAGAGGAGCGGTAAAAATATCTTGAGATGGTTTTTGGTACTTATACCGCAAATATATATTCTTAAGGACATCAAAACCTAAAATAGAACTCCAGAAAGGTGTACAATATGGGACCTTTAAAGTGAAACTGCATTTTTAGAAAGTTTTTTAAATATATTTCAGTTAACATTTAATTTATCTCAAATAATGTAATATTATTTGAGAAAATAATATAATAAATATAATATAAATATAAAGTATAATAAAATATAAATAAAATATAATTATATTATAAATATTATAATTTTAATAAAATAATTTTATGATGTAATAAAATAATTTTTAATGGTTATCTGCACGTGTGATTCCTATTAGCTATGTTCTTTCCCTGTTGAAGTGAATGGAAATGTGTGGATAAGTGAATAAACCCGGCAATAAAACTCTTTGTTTGCTTCTCAGATGTGTTGATGGTGATTTTGGAAATTGCACACATGACAAAAGTGTTTACAGCCCTGTAAATCATATTGACTCATCTTTTACAAACCTGACCGACTATAACCCGTTCACGCAAATGCTTATGTAACACCACATAAAGCCATCCATTTATCTCATAAAATGAAAACGCTCTCATTATCATCATGCCATAATTCTCATATATAGCCCACTTTTTCCGCATGCATCCATTAATGTGATGGAAATGTCAGTTATCTTTTGTGCTCGTCTTGAGGTCTCTTTTGGTTTCATCAGGAGAATGACCGATAGTAACCTCGTCCTTGGCAGGCATGCGTGAGCGTGTCACAGCAGCGGCTCTGTTTTTGCTGGCGGGCAAGCGGCACAAGATATGGTTTTCATAAACTCCCTTTCATTCCTCTCCACGCTCTGGATTACCCTGAAGACACTTACATTCATATGTCTATTTTTATACTTTTGCTCGGTTTTTCTCTCAGTACTTAAAAATTATTAACCATTATTATTTTCTTAGCCTCATTTCCAAACCTGTGTAGGCCGTTTTGTCCGTTTAGAATGCGAAATGAGCCTTTTTGATTGATTTAAAAATAAATGCATCATTACTGCATGTGCTATTTTCTAAGTCACACGATAGTGTCATGTGAGGAACTGACTGAAATTCAAACCGTTATTCAATGAAAGTGAACGCAAATGAGAATACTATCAACTTACATTTAGTCTGTTCCTCACACAAAGCTGTTGTGAAATATGTGCAAATTTCTCTTTTCGTGTTTCACATTAAAACAGCAGTATATATCATGACATACAGTGGCGAGGAAATAACGACATAATAAAAATGCCTGCACAATACAGACATCCAGCAGCAATAAGCATGTTTCTGTAGTATTATTATTATTATTATTATTATTGTTATGTTTGGTCAGTGTCGGTAACACCCTTCAGCTGACAGTGACAACACACCCTCTGACACATAGAGGTATAATGTCCCAAATGCAGGCAGGCATGTGGACTGCACACTTTAAGACACCCAGTAACGGGATAGTGAGTTTTGAAATGAATATTAGTCTCTCTCTTTCCTGAAGCAGCTGTACTTTGAGAGAACTGACTAAACACAGTCCAGGGTGCTGCGGGGTTTACGTTTGCTTTTCTCAACGTCAGACAAACAGTTTTAAGCACTTCTTTAGCATAAGCAAACGTTTTGTGACGTTTGACCATCACGCGGTTCTTCACTCATCCGTGTCTTTTCGACGTCATTCATTTAGTCTTTTATTTTAAATTTGTAAGATTCATACAAAGAAAAGATAATTAGGTTCTGGAAACGAACATATCTCTGTAAATAAAAAGATATTTCATGATATTTCATGAAAAATGACAACAGCAACAAAAAATCAGCCAGAAATTAATCATTTTATCCAGTAAAGACATTAAACTGATCGAAAGTGACAGTAAAAACATTTAAAATGTTACAAAAAATCTATTTCAAATAAATGCTGTTCTTCTGAACTTTCTATTTATCAAAGAAACGTGAAAAAAAAATCCACAAAAAGCAGCACAACTGTTTTCAACATTGATAATAACAATAAATGTTTCTTTCAGCATCAAATCAGCATTTTAGTATGATTTCTGAAGGATCATGTGACACTGAAGACTGGAGTAATGGTGCTGAAAATTCAGCTTTGATCACAGGAATAAATTACATTTGACAATATATTCAAATAGAAAACAATTATTTTACACTGTAATAATATTACAGTTTTACTGTATTTTGATCAAATAGATGCAGCCTTGGTGAGCAGAAGGGACTTCTTTCAAAAACATGAAAAAATCTTATCAATCTTTTGAATGGTTGTTTATATAAAGACTTCTACTGAAATCTAAGGACTCTTTATTTGACTCTCACTGTTTCTCAGCTTGGGAGTATGAAGAGCTGGCAGGACATGCGCAATGAGATCTTTTACCTGACGGGCAACAGCACACAGTCCCCCAACCACATGTACCAGGCCGTGTCCCGTATCGTCTGCGGTCACCCGGAGGGCGGAGGACTGAAGATCAAGTCCCTCAACTGGTACGAGGACAACAACTACAAGGCCCTGTTCGGGAACTACGGCAATGACAGCGACAGCGAGCCCGTTTACGACAACTCCTCCAGTAAGTGAAGCTGCATTGCTCTTTTTTCCATTGTTTGCGAATACTAAATATTTCACGTACCCTGCTAAATTGTTGAAAAACCTCTTTTCTTTAGCGCCCTACTGCAACAGCATGATGAAGGGCCTGGAGTCGAGTCCCGTATCCCGCATGATCTGGAGAGCTCTGAAGCCGCTGCTTATGGGGAAGATCTTGTACACCCCAGACACCCCTGCCACCCAGAGGATCATACAAGAGGTCAGGAGACACTAATGAAAGAAACTAATGCTTAGTGTTGACCAGGTTTCTGTGAGTCAAAGATTTGGACACACATTCTCATTCTGTATTATTACTGGTTTTAATAGTTGTTTCTGATAGTAAAGTCATCAGAAAGAGCCTTACTTTAGTATA